TTCCATTTTATGTGAGAAATGTTGCAATTTTGAAAGGGAAGGAAGAAAAAAATGAAATTAAAAATATACTGCGATTTTAATAAAGATTAAATGAACATGCAACAAACGAGAATAAATCAAAATGAAAATGTTACGTAAATAGTAAACAAAGAATACAATATGGCATATAGCATTATATGATGTGTTAATTATGCCCAAATATTGCGAAATATTTGAGGGAATGTATGTTTAAGACAGAACATGATGAAAATATTATAATAATAACAATAATATTAATAATTATTGGTGATGATAAATAATATTAATAACTATTAATAGTAATAAACAATCACGATAATGACAGTGCGATCTGAAAACAACAGAACAAAGAAGCATTTGTATACTGGATTAATCTAGTTCTCTTTATTCCATTTCAATTACCATCATTATAATTTGAAAATTTTTGTCAATAAATAAACATTATTGGAGTGGAAGAGAAATGATGTTACTATTTTTGTTCATCGGAAATTATGATTGAATAAATCTATTCGTTCAAGTGTAATCGATCATTTTGTGCGAATAACGTTACAAGCTTTTTTTGAGTATTTGATTTCTTAAATCCTCTAAGTAAAAAACTTGTACTCAATTTTATTTGCTATTATTGTTAATGTTAATTGCAATTATTATTTCACTATAATAATAGTTATTCTTATTGTTGTTTTATTAAACATAGTTTTTCAGATTGTTAAGCATGCATTGAGATATGCTAAGCGTATAACTTTATGTAAATATGTTACTTACTGCTCGTTATATTTGATTATGATCACTGTAATAATGGAATGTTGCAATAGATAAATTGATGCTTATCTGATATTTTGTTTCATATATTCATATGCTGTCCAGTAAGAAAAATTGAATTCAAGCATGAATTTCAGAATTTTAGACTTCCAAAATTCTTCAAAAGCAAGTGTATGAAAAAAATTAAAAATTTTAACGGTTCAATCATTTTGATCATTTAATTTTTGAGATCACTTAATTCATCCTCTGATGATTTTTTTTTTTTATCACAACTTCTATGATATCGATTTCATGTCTAAAAAGAATGAAAGACAGATTATATTTTTACATTTTAAAATACCAACTATTTTATATACAATTAGTTTCACATGACAAAACAAATAACACTTCGAAAATGCTCATAAATCGATTTCTGGAGAAATAATTACAATTAAATGATTTCCTGACTTACATCATAAATATCTCCTGCAATCTTCCGTTTCTTCCATCTATTGCTGATATTGTCTATCCGATAAAACTTCATGAAATGTTTCATTAAATGACCGAATTTCATTTCCATTTCAAGCAAATTAACCGAATTGATCATATCATCTACCATTTATTATATCATAACAATAAATTCGTCATTTTGTTTGTTCTTTTCATTATATTGGGCAAAACTGAATTTTTCCTTTCAATTTCATCGAAAAGATCATATCAAAAAGGTATCAAATTTAAAATTGTTCTCATTAAAATTACGAAATATAATTAAAGGTAAAAGTCATTTTTCGTAAAATATTTGCGGTCTTATTGTAATCATCATGAATTTGAATTCAATTGGAAAATAAATTTGTAAAGCGAAAACCGATGCATCACGAAATTTTATCAAATTAGATGTAAATAGTTGATGAAAATTTTTTGAAGTATATATTTTAATACAATTTCACTGTTACTAAGTGTGTTAAAAGTTCAAAAAATTTGAACTTTTTACAGTTCAAATTTTTTATTACTTTTTCCTTCACTTATATTAATTTATGCTAAAATTTAAAACATAAATTCGAACTAGAGAAAAATGGTTGAATTTTAACTTACTAATTATTTCCATTTTCAGGATTAATATGTCTTCATTGATAATTGTAATTATTTTTACATATTGGTCATACTTAACTGCTCAACGACAATTACAGAACAAGATTAATCTTATCAGCAATGACCTTTTTGCACGATCAATACCATGGGAACAATCAAATAATAAGTATAATATTAGTACACAAATAAATATTTATCCAATACGTCATCCAATTATGAATGGGCAACAAATTACCGAATTAGCTACTAGAATGCATAATTCACAGGTATATTATCACAATCACCATCATCATCATCACCAACAACACCACCACCACCACCACCAACAACAACAACAACAACAACAACAACCACAACAACAACAGCAGAATAAACAAATTCTGATAGGAAAATATGCCCATCTGAATCATAAGTCTTCACCGCTACAACAAAGGATTTCTCAGCAAGCATCACCGTTATTGCAACAACACCAACAACACCAACAACAAGAACAACAACAACAAGAACAACAACAACAAGAACAACAACAACA